GAAGAAATTAGTTTGAGTTCTACTATATGGGTGAACTCAGTAGAAAAACAATATTTCTTAGGATTAACTTCTTGATTCTTACATGAATTGAAAATCTTAGACTCAATCTCCAGAGATATATAGCACATGATCTATCTTAAGCACTTTTTCAAATATAGTTACCAAAAATGAAAATATCTTCTGTGTTTAACAGTTCAACAAAGACCATTTTTTCAATCCCTGGTTTAAAAAAAAGAAAGAAAGAGAGAGAGAAAGAAAGAAAGAAAGAAAAAAGAAGAGGATAACATTTACAATCATTGAGATTAAGTAGTCTGCCCAAGTCATACTGCTAGAAAAATATCAGATAGTGGTCAAAGTCACTATCTAAATTTTATATATATATATATATATATATATATATATATATATATATATATATATATATATTTTAGTTGCAGTTGGTCACAATACCTTTATTTTATTTATTTATTTTTATGTAGTGCTGAGGATCAAACCCAGGGCCTCACATGTGCTAGTTGGGTGCTCAACCCCTGAGCCACAACTCCAGCCCCACTATCTGAATTCTTAAGAGCCTGCTAGCAAAAACAATTTTCAAGAATTTAAAATCTTCACATCTTCTAAAAATGTTAGTTCAACAGATTGTTGAGTACAGGACACTGGCTTGGGTACATAAAGTGAACTGGTAAAACTAATATAGACTGGAGCTATGTCTATTTATGTATGCCAGTCATAAGACTGGTATTTATTCTGCCTTCATGGTTAGCCCCCTGCTGTGGCCTCTACTGTGTCTATTGTTTCCAATTAAATTTTTCTTTATCATTTGTAACCCCCTTCCTTATAATTGCCCTTGGTGTAAATTTTAGCCTGATTCTGTCAATAGGAAAAAATTTTAAAAGTCTATCAATAGCCTACACATCATCCTAGTGGGGTCTCTGGCCATAAATTCATAACTCACAAGTCTGATTTTTCTGTTTTAGGAAAAATAAAAGACAAAGTCATCCATCCATTTGGAAACAGCCAAAATTGCCCCATACATTGCCAAATGTTCCCTCAGTGGTGCAAAATTACCCCCAATTGAGAAATGGTCTAAATAAAGTGGGAATGTTTGATGACACTTGCTTTGCTATCTACCTGTCTACCTATGTCCAATAAAAATACTCCTAAAACTAATAGAATAGAAGATTTGGGAACTAAATTATGAATGTTCCATGTATGTATTATATGTCAAAATACATTCTGCTGTCATGTATGACTAAAAATAAAACACATGGTAAAAAAAAATCAGTTTAACCATTGGAAAAAAAATTATGAATGTCATCCAAGATAAATTCATTCTTTTGCAAGAGAGCAAGAAAGGCATGTGCATACAGTGTGTGTCCAGCATGTCTTAAGCAATTTCCAATGATATCTGTAAGTTCTATAATCAATAGAATTAGGGCAAACCATGTTCTTTCTGTTAGGGAAAAGTCTAAGCAAAGAAAACCGTTTATAAAAAAAAAACCTTTATCTTTTTATCTTAAAAGGAGAACGTTTTAAAAATGCTTTTGTATTTTAATAAATTACCAACAGAGAGAATATGACTTCTGATTGTTAACAGAAACATGAATCTCCAATTGCAAGTAAACCTTGTAATAAAAGGATCATAAGTAGTAACTCAGTTTTATGACTTTAATTTCATAATTTTAATTACTGATATGCCCTTCTGGAGATATTACTTGAGCACATTTAGTGGTTCCTTGGTTCCTTGGTTATAACTATATAAATAATAAGAGACTAAATTTTCTCATTTATTACACAGGAAAGGTGGGCACTGAAACCTGAATTCTTAATTGAAAGTTTAACTCTTGATTATCTGGGGACTTAACTGTCTCCCTTCATCATAAGTATTAATTAATACTTCCACCAGACACAGGAAAAATAGGCAAATATCAAAGCAGATTAGATTTATAAATAGATTAATAGGTTTACATGTTATGTGTTAGCAGCCCTAATAGATATTATTTATTGAAAAAATTACCCATTTGTTCATTTTAGTCAACAACTATTTATTGATCACTTACAATATTCCAGGCATTATTTGTAGCAATGAACCAAACAAAATTCTGTTTTCATAAAGCTTCAATTCTAGTGGAGAAGCTAGCATACAAATTAGTATATATCAGAGGGCAATGGGCATTTTAAATAAAAATAAAAGTAGGGTAAGGGAAAAGGGGATGTCAGGTAAGAAGGGGTCCTTTTTAAGGGTGGTTAAAATAACTTTTGTGATAAGGTGGCAGGCGCCAGTGGAAATTCTGAAGGAGAGTGTTCCATAGGAGGAAACAGATGGCTCACGTGAAGTTGTCCACTTTACAGTTGGTGAGCTTATTTGTCTGAGATTCAACAGCTGTTGGCCAGTAGCAGAGGTAATTGGGAATCATTAGATTAAGCACAAAAAGAGAAATGAATGTCATCTTCAAAGTTGGGATACCCACCTGAAACACGATATGCCTTCTATATCTCTTTGGGTCAAAAATAATGTTAGAATTCAGAAGGAGTAAAGATGAGAATTTAGCTCTTATAACTAATTTAGCTATTGGAAAATTAACTCACTTTTCCCATTCCTTGGTTTCATCAACTAAGTCAGGGTTTCCTCAAATAAGTCAAAGTTTTTCATTACTATTGATATTTTAGTTGGATAATTCTTTGTTGCGGGGCTGTATGCAATCCAGATGTTTAGCAGCATCCCTGGTTTCTAAGCACTGGGTGCCAATATCACCTCCCAGTGATGAAAATCAAAATGGTCTCCAGACATCACAAAGTGTCCTTAGAAGAGGCAAAATTGTCTCCAGTTCAGAGTTACTGGTCTAAATTAAAAGGGAAAATAATTTGATGGCACTTTTCTAATTATGAGTCCAAACACTTTTTTAGGAGAGCAAGAGAGGCATGTGCATACAGTGTGTGTCCAGCATGTCTTAAGCAATTTCCAGTGATAATTATCACATACTAAATTGTCTGTATATATTTGCCTGAACACATCAGAGTGCTTATTACTGTTATTGTAAGTACCATACCTTGTAAGGTATTCTGAATATTTTCAATAATGAACAACATGCATTGTTTCTACCAATCAAATCATTTTGCCTATTCTGAAAGGAATTGAAATTGACATCTTACCATGAGCAAATCACATATAGAAAACATACATATGAATTACAAGTACTCATCCCTCATCTCTTGAGAGACCTGTATCTCTCAAGTCATTTCAGATCTGGAGTCCCCTTTCTGCCTAAACCCTCAGTCACTCTACAGGGATGTTTTAGACTGATGGTACATGTTTTCAAAACTTTTAATCTCTATAATAATTTTTAAAAATCCTTCATTCTCTGTTATTTAATACTCCTATGGTATGTCATCCTGATGCCAGCAGTCCCTTTCTGAAAGTCTATTACTTCTATTTTTTGTTTCACATGAGTAAATCAGTCCCCATTTAAGCAAACACAACACACACACACACACACACACACACACACGAAATCCACTCACATATATCCACTGGTGGCAATGGGGACTGCACTAAAGATTTCACCTGAGACAGAGACAATCTAAAGTTCAGTTTGAACACTGCTTCCCAAGGTCCTCTTGGGGGTCTCTCCCCCTCTTCCTCTGACTTTCCTCTCCTCCCCAAGACAATGCAGGTTCTTTCTGCGCTATCCCCTCCCCAACTTTAGAGTGGCACTTTTTAGAGCACGAATCAGCAAACTACCACTCTTAGTCAAATCTGCCTACAGCTAAGAATGGATTTTGTGCTTCTGAATAATTTCTTTAAAAAAAGAATTATACTCTTTCCACTAACTTATACTTGTCTATCTAGAATACAGGTTGTCCATTCAGCTGGTCATTTGCCAGGTGTGGACTTAAGTTGCTGGGCTTGCAATATGAATTGCTATCCCCTCATTGTGCAGGTCTGTGTGGAGCTTTAATCACTACATGTCTCCATTTCTATATTACATTAATATTGGCTCATGCATATAATTACCTGCTGCTGATGTAGTTCTCCATCTTAAAGTTTTAGAGTGGGTTAACCAGTTCATTACATCTTAATTTAATAACAAGCATTACTGTAGAGTGATTGTATATAGGTATCTGTTAGCTGTCAGGGTGTGTTTTTTTTAACCTGATGTGTGTGTGTTGGGGGGGTAGGATTAGGAAGGTGAACTGTTCAGGAATTTTCTGCACAAGCTGTGCATAAGAGCAGATAACTAGCTGTGCTCTGGCATTAATCCCAGGAACCACTAGCAGTAGTGGGGCGCTGCCAATCTACCATGAGCACAGGTGCCTCATGACAGACATTACTAGCATGTTCAACTGCATAATGTTCTGGCACTGTATTTTGAATGACATTAATTTATTAAATAAATTGTATACATTCAAAAAAAGAAAAGAATTATATTTCATTTCATGAAGTATTATATAAAATTTAAGTTTCAGTGGGTATAAATAAAGTGTGAACAAAATGTAGCTATTCTCATTCGTTTCTGTGTTTTCTATGGCTGCTCTTTTGCTGTAATGGCAGCATTGAGTGGCTGCAACAAAGACCACAAGGCCCACAAAGCCTAAAATATTTACAATCCACCCTTTACAGAAAAAGTTTGTCTACCCCTACAATAGAGACACCCACCCCAAGTGATTTATCAGTGTTTCCAACACACATAATGAGCCCCAGGCCCTGAGGGAAATTTTGCATGGATAACATGCACTTAGGTATGGTGAGGTTTTTTTCCAAGCCAGCAGTGAACCTGTCACTGTGTGTATATTTCAGGGTATGCAGAGAGGCATAGCCAGCAGCTAGACTAAACTTAAGCCCAAGTGGCCCCAAAGTGCACTTACCTTGCCTCCTCATCTCCCACATCACAACATAAGTATTGGCTAGATACACTGACTTACAGCAGACTTTTCAACATTAAAATTTTGTTTTATATTTCAATCCACTCATTAAAACAGAATCAAACATTTTTCCTTAGATTCAATTCACTTTCAAATAATCTGTACGAAGAACTTGAGAACAATCAAAAATGGGCACAAAGTGAGTTCATCAAACACAGAAAAGACCACCTGAGCCATACAAATGAATGTCTGATGGTCCTGCAGGAGAAACTGGTAAGAAGCTCTTATTTCATGAAGTAGAGCTGCATGGTAAATGTCTGGATGTTAGCCACGAGTAAAGGTCTGGAAGTTCACCCTTCAACATTTATAGCATCAGTAACTTCTTTATAATTTTAGCACTGTAGGTTCAACAGCCTGTATTCTGGTCCTGTTTACTATACCCTAACTCTGTGAATCTGCGTTTCTCTGTTCAAAGTTACCTGAAGTGATTTTTTCAAAAATACAGATTGTCACCCCAGACCTAGGGAGTTAACTCTCTGGGGCCTTCACTGGAATACATGATCTTAGACAATTATATTGGATGATGCTTAGGCACAAGAAATCTTGGAAACTTCTGCTCACAAAGTCATTTAAAATCTCTGGAGATCTGTCAGTAGAACAAAACTTTTCAAAACTCTTTTTAAATTGTGTAAAGAAAGCCCCAAACTTTGAGGTGAGGTTACCAAGGTTTATGAAAAATATATTTCCTTTAGGGTTGCCTTTTCCCATTGCAACCAGCACATCGGGAAGGCTGAAAAGGGACATCAATGCTGTCAGTGGCTGCCAGCCATGAAGATGATTCAAAAAAGATGATAACTTCAGTAAAGGAGTTTTGGGCAGCTCAGTAAATAATGTCTCTCACCCCCACCCAAGTTTGCAAATAACTGAATGAGATAGGAGTCCAAGAGGTGGAGATATTCATAACAACATTATCACTGAGAAGGGGTATCAAAGTATGTGCAGTCACATCAGTAGTTGTCAAGTGGGCCTGCTAGATTTTTACCCTCAAGTTAGGTAAATTCCTCTGCTAATTACAGGCAGCACTAAGTGACCTTGTGGGTTCCCCTGCTGACAGAAGTCTCTTACAAGAAGAGAGAGACGAATCCACCCTTCCTAAGGCAAGGCAGGGGCAAAAAGAAGAGGGCCAAAGGGGCCATGACAGTCTGTCCAGTTCCTGCTCCCAAATTCTCTGTGAGGAAATGAGATGAGAAGCTAATTAGCCTAAGGCTGCTTCTGCAGTCTACACCCTGCTGCATAATAGAATCACTTGAAGAGTTTTTAAGTGGTATTAACTCCTGAGCTCCATCATAAACTTATTAAATCAAAATTTCTAGAGGTGGGGTATAATCCAGGGGATTGTAAGAAATAGCTGGAATGGAAAGTCACTATTCTTGCTAAAGTGTGTTGATGTGGATATGAAGTTCTAGGGAATAAGAACTTCTGGCATTTAGGAACATGCCAAGGAGCTCAGGGAAAGCCATAACTGAATCATCTTCATTTGCTACACTTCTTTAAACACTAGACTCAAATTCCAAATCCTTAAGGCATTTCAGCAAGACCAGAGAGAGCCCTCTTATTTTATTCTATAGCATGTAGAATCCAGAAACTACAAACAAGGTCAAACAAAAAGAATTAATTCTTACACCTGGAACACAATTTTAGATATAAGGAGTCTTGGTTTGAATTTTCATGCTTAACATGGGAAAACAAATATGTTAAAAACGTTTTCTCTAAGATGAAATATAAATCCACATTAGTATTCTTCTCTGCTGAGTTTTATCACATGATCTCGTTTCTAGGAAAAGTCTGAAAACAAAATGGAAGAAAAAATGTTGCAGCTTTCAAGCAAATTAGAAAATTTCATTAACTCACAGAAACAGGAAGCAGAACTGAACAAAGTAAAGTTTGTAGAAAATAAATTGTCCAAAAAGATGAGCCAAATGGAAAAGCACGTCTGGGGTGAACTAGAGAAAATGCAGAATGAATATCAATCAGGTGAGTAGATACCTTTTATTAAGGAAAGAATAATTGTCCTTTCCTGTCCAATTGCTCAGAATTTTCTACTTTATACCACTGGCCATGGAACAATCTTGTCATTAGTTACATCATTATGTATTTAATCTGGCTTCCTAAATATCCTGTAGGATGTCAGCATACCATCAGAACATGTAAAAATGAGTCAACTTTCTTCATTCACATTGGGTAATGTCACAATCCTGTTGCTGTCCTGAGATTCTCATAAATCCTAGACATGGAAAGTCCTTAGAGATCACCAAGACCTGACTTGTTAGGTATATTATAAAATTAGGAGCCTAAATCAAATGTCCCTCTCATCGGACTACAAGTAATGAGCCTAGACAGATGTCAGATTGGAAACTTGACCTTTAGAAGTGAGGAAGAGATGAATTAGCAGAGTCCAGTATAATGACTGCTTTTCCTCTTAAGAGGCTAATGGCAGCAGTGTCAAGCTGAGCTAACATCAAAGAGGATTAATTTGAAAGGCTCATCTAATTTGTCAAAAGAAAAGACATGGGATAGGTGCTGTGGAGCAGCCATCTGCCTCAAATCACAATTCTGAAGGAATTACCAGGAACCAGAGAGGTTCTTGTATAGAGAAACTCCAACCCATTCTCTATCTTCTAGATCTCAGAAAAATTCACATTTAAATTCCATAAAATTTTGGTCCCATGGAGAGATGCAGTGGAGGCGCCTTGGGAAGACATCACTGTTTCATTCTAGCAGCTGTTTCTGGCATATAAGTAGAATTTGTTGCCTGGAAATATAACCCTCACAACCTCCATTTTCTACCACCAAGTCAAAATAATGAATTATCTAGCCAGGAATCATGTCCCAAATCTAACTGGTACTTAAAAATGGCCTTGCTTTCGCCTTAACTCTCAAAGATTTAATTTTACTCATCCCACTGGTACAATCTCAGGATTAGCTGAAGAGAAATGTACAATCTATGTGTTTCTACATTTTACCAAGTAGGAGTTCTAGCAAAAGAGGACTCCAAATTAATGGTCTGCTCCTTTATGCCTTTAATAAAAATGTGTTGAGAAGCAACTATGTGAACGGCCTCAGTGAATACGAAATGGGCTACACTTTAAGAAGTTTGAGGTCTGATAGGTCTGTGGTCATGAGTGATTAGCTATGTATAAGAGGGACACAAAGTGCTGGGAGGGAAGAGGGAAGCCACTCTTTTATGCCTTTCAAACCCGCTATTCTCAGAGAAATTCTTAAATCTCATCAGTGGTATTTACCTTCAACTTGGTAACAAGAATTTTTCTTTTTAAAAATCACACAGGGCTTGGGATATAGCTCAGTTGGTAGAGTGCTTGCCTCACATGCACAAGGCCCTGGGTTCCATCCCTAGTAACACACACACACACACACACACCACACAAATCACACAAGTGCTGGAGATTAATGCTCTGAGGTGTGGTTGGTAAAGATTTTCTCCCATTCTGTAAGTTCTCTCTTCACGTTATTGTTTCCTTTGCTGAGAGGAAGATTTTTAGTTTGAATCTATCCCATTTATTGATTCTTGATTTTACTTCTTGCGCTTTAGGAGTCTTGTTAAGGAAGTCAGATCCTAAGCCAACATGGTGAAGATTTGGGCCTACTTTTTCTTTTATTGGGCTTAGTGTAAGGAAAATTAAAAGGGACACACAGACAAGATACAGAGGCAGGAAAGAAAGATGGCAGAATGGCAGAAGGGCCAAGCTGCCAAGCTTTATTTATATCAATAGGTTGCTTTAGGTCATTAGCATCATTGGTACATATTGTTCACTGCGTCATTAGGCAGGTTACAGACTTAGCAACATTATGCAGCTTATTCTTCAGTTGCATACTACATTGCAATGTGCAATGTTTGGAGCTTTGTGTAGCTCTCAAGAAAGTCCATTGTATAAAGTTAGTTACTGCTATGTGGGCAGGTTCTTGTGGTTGTCTAACAAGAGAGTTCCTTTATTCCCAGGGCCTGTGTGCCTGAGATCAAGGTGGAGGCTGCTAAGACTCTAATACAGAGTTTCCTCATGAAGGACATTGCTACAGCAGCCAGGCATCCTGTGTCTTTGCACAGAAGTTTTCCCAGCAGCCAGGCATTCTGTGTCTTTGCACAGAAACTTCCTAGTCACCAAGCATGCCACAGTCATGAAGCTATCAGAGACCTCAATCTCAAACACAGAACCTATTATATCCTCAGATGAAATGGATTTTGTTTGTTTTTAAAAGGGTTTTAATGGAATTTAATGTACTTTAAATTAAACAATGATCAATTATGGTAGGAATTCTAATCTGCCAATTTCTACCAAAAAAAAAAAAAAAAGTTCCAATGCATTCTTTGATATATATGTATTCTCTTTTTCTTTCTCAGGATTTAAATCAATTCATGACTCTCTCAACTCCCTCCAACAAATACAGAAAACAAAAATGGATCTAGAGAAATATAAAGTACAGAAAGACATAAAGAAATTAAAGCGTAAGATTGTGGAACTCCAGGAGGTATAAAACTTTCCAGTCTTTTTCTTTTTCACATGCTAATGGAGCAATCTGTTAGAAATAATTGTGAATAAGAAAGTCAATATCTCTATGGTGCTTACTGCTTCTAATGTCTCTGTATCTCTTACCACCATTTAAGAAGATGAAAGTACCAGGGAAAAACAATAAAGAAGCTTTATGTCTCCATGTCTTCAATGTATTAGTGAAAAAATTAAGGAAAATCTTCACACAGATGCCTTTTCTATATTTTTATTTACCTACAAATTAAAAAAGAACAATGTTCTTAATGTACACAGATGAATTAAGTAAGGCCAGATGTAATACATCAAAGAATGGCAGGAATATGGCAAATTGAACTATGGAAAAACCTGTCTGAAAATAATAGCCACTATACAGTTATAATTCACTACCTATATGAATTCAGTCCATTATTGCCAAAATATTTCAATTTTTTAAGAGAAACTTCTCCAGTTTTTTATTTTACTGGGGGCAGGTACTAGGGATTGAACTCAGGGGCACTTAACCACTGAGCCACATCCCCAGCCCCATTTTTTATTTTATTTAGAGACAGGGTCTCACTGAGTTGCTTAGTGTCTTGCAATTGCTAAGGCTGGCTTTGAACCTGTGATCCTCCTGTCTCAGCCTCCCGAGCTGATGGGATTATAGGCATGCACCACCATGCCCAGCAAACTTCTCCAGTGTTAAGCATTAGTATCTAGTTCAATATGGTTCTTAATTTATGAAGGAAATATTTGTGGAATAGGTACATCTAGTGGGTTTTCAATCACAACTTCTTAAAAAGCATTTTTGTAGTTGTTAATGGACCTTTATTTTATTTATATGCAGTGATGAGAACAGAACCTTACACATGCTAGGCAAATGCTATACCACTGAGCTATAACCACAGTCCATCAATCACAACTTTTGACACAAAGATTTTCATTTTATAACAATCCCAATGTTCATAGAAAGTTTAGAATGTTCAAAATATATTTTCATTGTTTTCAGTATGTATCAGAATTATGAGTAAGTTCTAATCCAAAATAAGAGAATTCAACAGCTTTCAGGAAAAATATGCCACATAATTGATGTAGCTGTACTTCAAACATGAATTAATTTCTAATAAAATTAAAATACACCTAATTTTTCTGGATATAAATATTAAATTAAATACTGAGTCTAGAATGAGGCAACAAATTTGTGAAAAGTAAAACAAGTTATCCACAGTATGTTATCTGTGCTCAGAACAACGACTAATGTCTAATCACAGATTGTGTGTAGGGCTGGCAAGGGAACTTATGCTTCAGATTTAGGCACCTTCCTTAGTTTACAGAAAGAGTAATAACTTCTCTCAAATAGAGAACAAATTTGCCTTTCATATAAATTTTTGACCAGTGTCCATTTTTCTAATTTTTAACTGTATAAAACATCTCGACTTATGCAACATCATTGGCTCTATCATTGAAGGAATATTCATAGCAGGAATTAAGCATTTAGAAGCAACAGCAAGTGTCTTTTGTAATCAAGTACCATTCTAGGATAAGGAGATGATATTTTATGTAATATAAAGCTCTTAAAATATCCATAAGAAAATAATAACATCTGTTAATATTTTGAGTATATATACATACATATGTATATGAATACACACACACACACACACACACACACACACACTTTTATCCACAATTCCATGACTAGAAATTTATATTACAGAAAGAAATGCTCTCAAAGTATACCAAGAAATTTGAATAAGGAGACTTACTTATTATAACATTATTTGTTATGGTATATAAAAATGTGAGGAATCTATTAACTAAATTAATGGTTTACCAGACCCCCCCCCAAAAAAAAAGTTATATGTAAAGCTATCCGTGATACACTGTTAGATGAAGAAAAAGCAAGTTGCACAGCAATACTGGCCCCACTTAAGTCAGAAATTAGTTTCTAATAATTTTAATACAATACATGAAGTACAGTATGCAAAAAAAGATTTTTAAAACAAATTTGGCAATGATTGAGTTATAAAACTTTTGTTTTCTACAATAAGTATATATAAATAGTTTTACATTTTTACATATGTTGAAAAACAACAAATATACTAGTCTATAATGAACCAAATAAATTGGAAATGTTAAATTAGGAAATTATATAGAACAAGGCATATTATCCTACTCATACTCACTTTCTAATCTACATACATGACTCCAAAAGCAAAGAGGATATACACCAAGCAAGTGAGAAAAAAAATACAGGATGCATTCTTTTCTTGTAAATAAAAATGCTCTAAACCACATTGTAATTCAAAGACTAGCACAGGATTGGGCCAAACATTTTGTCAGAATTAATCCCTTTCGCTGGTGTTGACCAGGAAAGTACCATTTAAGGGTGGGAGCTCAAAGGATCAAAGCATCCTCTGCTACCATCCTCTTACTTAGGATGTCACATGGGAATGCACAGACACTAGATGACCTGAGCACTATGCCTAGAAAGAGGGTGGACCCAAGTTCTGTAGGGTCTAAAGCTTATATCTATATCTATATCTATATCTATATCTATATCTATATATATAGATATAGATATATATCTGATGTCCGGTCATGATGCCAGATGAGTTTGCACAGTAGTCTGTAGAATATTTTAGGAAGTAAATGCTACATTGGGATAATACCAGCAATTCAACTCCATACACAATTGTGAACAACATTGAATACATTGCTCTAACCAAATTTATCTCAAAGATGCCCATAGTCACTCTAGCACCACCTGATGTAGTGCTAGAGTAGAAAAATGCAGTGAGGGCTGGGGATGTGGCTCAAGCAGTGGTGCCGCTCGACTGGTATGCACAGGGCGCTGGGTTTGATACTCAGCACCACATAAAAAAATGAAAAATAAAGATGTTGTGTCTATCGAAAACTGAAAAATAAAAATATTTTTAAAATTATCTCTCTCTTCTCTCTCTCTCTTTTAAAAAAAAGAAAAAAGAAAGAAAAATGCAGTGGTTTTAATCAATTGTCTTAATCAATTATGATTAAAACATCTGCACATATTATAATGACCATGTAAATTTGTGGCCAGGGCCCATGTAAGTGAGTGGCTCTGAAGCTCAAGAGCCATTGATTGTTATACAGTAAATTCATCTATGCTCAGGGGACAGTGAAGATAGGACTCCCTCCCCTTGCATTTATTTTGCTATAGATGGAAAAAGCTAATAACCATGAACAATCCTCCTTTCTTATCAGCTCACTATGCATGGGATTATATTCTATATCAAATGATATTTGTGAATCCTGCAAGCAATGTCAAACTTCCCTCCCCAATACGTTTGAGCATTACAGAATCTTCATACTCACACTGTAGACTCTACAACAAAATATTTCAGGTAGCTCTTACTTTATGCACAAACACCACATAAGCCCTTTTGCACAGCTTAAGTGTTCTTCTGACTCCCAGCATTTTCTGCCTCTTACTAAAACTTACTCTTGGAAAACATAGGGGAAAATCCCTTGACATTGGTCATGGCAATGTTTTGGTAAAATATCAGAAGCACAGACAACAAAAGCAAAAATAAATAAATGGACCTATATCAAACTAACAGTTTTCCATACAGCAAAGGAAGCAATAAACAAAATGAAAAGATAACATACAGAATGGTAACATACGGAATGTATAAGCAGGGGATAATCTCCAACCCCTTCCCCTGTTCTCCAAATTCATAATATATGCTCAAGTCTTTTATATAAAGTGGTGTCATACTTACATGAAATCTATGCACATCTTCCTGTATGTGAGGTACTGGGGATTAAACCCAGGTCCTCACACATGTGGGTAACATGCTTATTGAACTACATCCCCAGCCCCTCTCATATACTTTAAATCATGTATATATTACTTATAATACCTAATATAATGTAAATGCTATGTAAATAGTTTTATTACACCAAATTAGTTACAGAATAATAAAATATCTACATGTTCAATAAACATTTTTATATTTTTGATCCATAGTTGGTTAAATGCATGGATGAAGACCTGCAGATATAGAAGGCTGATGGTATTTATAACATATATTTTGATAGGCAATTAATATCCCCAAATAGAAATATTATATAATTTAATGGAAAAACATAAAAACAAAGCAAAACAACAACCTCCTTCCCCCAAATAACCCAATTTGTACAATGAGCAAAGAACCTAAGTAGACATTTTTACAAAGAAGATACACAAGGCCAACAGGTACACGGAAAGGTCCTCAACATCACTAATCATCATAAAAATTAAAATCCAAATCACAAAGTGGTATTACCACACATCAGTTAAAAGGGGTAATCTCAAAAAAGCCAAATGATAACTAGAATTGGTAAGCGTGCTGAGAAAAGGAAACCCTAGCACACTGTTAGTGGGATTATAAATTGGTACAGACAATATAGAAAACAGTATGAATGTTCCTCATAAAATTAAAAAGAAATAGGAGTATTATATGATCCAGCAGCCCCATCATTGGGTATATATCCAAAGGAAATGCAATTCATATTTTTGAAGAGGTACTCTTGAAGGGTATCTTGCATGTTCACTGTACAGTCAAGATATGGAAACAACCTAAGTGTCCACTGACAGATGAATGGATAAAGAAAACATGGTATACATACACAATGGAATTTTATTTGGTCTTTAAAAAAGAAGGAAATCCAGCCAGGCACCATGGCGCATGCCTGTAATCCCAGTGACTCTGGAAGCTGAGGAAGGAGTATTGCAAGTTCAAAGCCAGTCTCAGCAATTTAGCGAGGCACTTAGCAACTTGGTGAGACTCTGTCTCTAAATAAAATATTAAATAAAGGGCTGGGGATGTAGCTCAGTGGTTCAAATCCTGGGTTCAATTCCTGGTATCAAAAAAAAAAGAAAAAAGGAAATCCTGCCAAAATGGATAAACTTAAAGGACCTTATGCTACATGAAATAAGGCAGTCACAGAAAGACAAATACTTCACAATCTCTCCTATATGTGAAATCTAACGAAGTCAAACTTACAGAAACAGAGAATAATAATAATTTCCAGGGGCTGGGGAGTGGGGTGAAGGAAGAATTTCAGTCTGTGTTAGTCAGCTGTCACTGGAATAAAATGCCTGAGAAAATCAATATAAAAGGAGGAATGATTTATTTTGGCCTATGATTTCAAAAGTTTCCATCT